TCGGCATCCGACTCCTCCACCTCGGCCGAGGAGACAGGGTTGCGGACGGAGGCGCGTTCCCACGTCGTGGTGATAGTCGGCCTATCGCTGCTGGCGCCCTTAGTGGCACGGCCAGTCTTCGTGCTGGCCTCGGTAGAGCCCTCAGGCTTCTTGGTGGAGGACTTGGTCGCTCCAGGACGGGAGGAAGCGCTCGCATCGGCAGGGCCTGACGACGCGGCAGACGGCTTGGCGCGCTGGCTTTTTGCAGCCGTCGTGTCGGGAGTGGACTTGGCGGGGGCCGTAGCAGGAGCAGGCGCGTTGACGGGGGGAGAAGCCTTCGGGGTAGGGATCGCCTTGGCAGGACCGGCAGCATGGGCCGTACCAGCAGACTTGGCCGGGCCGGCCGCGTCGGATGGGCCGGACGCATCGGATGGGCCGGATGCCAGTCGTAGGGGTGCAACGTTCCGAACGTCCGTGTATGTATACATGTGTCCGTTCCGAACGGCCTCTTGTTCGAAACGGCCCCTCGGCAGTCTCCGACAAATAAATTTATTAATTTCGACGATACCCGTCGGCTGCCGTGCATCGCGAAACAATCCGTGCTCGCCGAGCACAGTCACTGCGAGGTTGACCAAACAAAATATCATGCATTCAATTAGCTAGATACTACATGTTTTGCTCGATAACAACATACAGTGCGAGTACAGACACGGTGACGGATTGGGAGGCGGGCTAGGGACATGAGATAAGGGGCAGGGGGATATAACACAGGACAGGGAGAGTGCGGGCGGGGGAGCGGAGGGGTTTACTAATACCAGACAACACGCGCATGGGCGGCGCGAACGTACGAAACCGTATAAAGGGATGGAGAGTAGACACACGGGATCCTAGGGCACAATTAGCGACAGGTATTGGCGCGATATTAAAGCAACGCACCTCCTACACGCCCGCGCGCGCGTCACAGCAAAACTCAGGCGTCGTTGGCACGCGGGAAGGCGGTCCGACGGCACACGGGAGCCTCACGAGAAGAGCACGGGGGCATTATCCAGTGAAGCCCGGCGGCGCGAACGCTGAGAAGCAGCCGTGAGCAGGAATGCCAGCGGGGAGAGTGGAGAGCGGTGGGACTTACGACGAGCGCGACGGTGTAGCCGAAGAGGGCGGGCAAGGGCAGAGGATAGTCGTGGGCGAAGGGAAAAAGGAACGCGCGTCGCGAAGTCGCGCCATCCGCACGCTCGGAATCTTCGGCAAATGCCGATTGGCCCGTCAGTTCCGACCGTTCCCGACCCGACGCGTCAGCACGCTCGCGACTTGTGTTTTTCGTCCTCCCCCCATCACCGCGCCCCTCCCTCTCTCCCCCACTTCCCCTCCTTGTCCCGTCCGTCCTCTCGAGTCCATGGCCGGGTGAGTGCAGGCCCTTTACTCACGTCCGCTCTGGCATCTGGCGTAGTTGTAGCGAGGTAGCTGGGCGCCCGCTCTTTGCTCCGGGGCTCCAGGTGCGTCGTGGCAAATTTTAAACATATAGACGCTAATTTCTCGCACAGATACTTTACTCACTGGTGTTGGGCGCCAGTAGATGCACCGTCATTTGTATGTATAGCGCGACGAGCGCACAAGGTACGTCGTGCGCGTTATCGAGGGCTGGCTCGCGCTAACTCGACTCAGACTATTTTCGTCCAACAAGCCCCGCGCCAGTGCGCGTACTGGTCTCGCAAGCGCCAGTCTCAAGTACGTCGTGCCCCAATAGTGTGTCGTGATGCCGCCCGTACTCACGCGAGTGTCAGGACATGCGCGCGAGGCCTCCAGCCGCCCGTTGAGGTCGTCAGCGCCCGGTCGGGTGCTAACTCTCGCGGTACGTGTCCCGTAGTTTTGATCTAATGCTCGACTGACGATACTGATTGTAGCTGGACGGGGCTTACGCTCGCAACGTGCTGGTCGCGCTTCCCGCTAAGGACCGTGACGTGGCAACGCCGTGAGGCGATACGGCTAGCGAGCGGCACGGCTCCCGCCATGCCGTGCTTCGCGCGGCTGCAGCGTACGCTGTCGCATGCGATCCATCGCTCCGCGACGTTCGCTCGCGCCTTGCGTGCGCTGCCGGCGCTTCGCGCCTCCATCGCTGGCGTATACGCATCGCCTGGCCGCGTTGGCGGCGCTTCGCGCCGCTATCGCTTGCGTATACGCACGGCTTTACTGCCTCCGTGTACGCTTTCGCACGCGGAACGTCGCTTCGCGACATTCGCTCGCGCCTTCCGTGCGCTGCCGACGCTTCGCGCCGCCATTGCCTGCGCGTGCGAGTCACTTTTCGATCGTTATCGTAGTTCACGTCGTCCCCCTGTATATTAGTATGTTAGTACTCTAGATTGTGAAATAAAATGATGTTTTCTTCTGCGACCATGGCTGCGTGCACGTGTGTTTCGGTGTCGATCGCCTTCGGCGATAATTGCCGGCGGAAGGGTGCCTTGCCCTGAGGCCCGTTCGGAAAAGGTCCACGTTCGGAACGGCGAGGCCCCCGTTCGGAACGGCCATGTGAACAGATATGGGACGTTCCGTAAGGTCCCACCCCAGGTGGTGCGGATGCCTTCGAAGGTTTCGCGAAGACCTTCTTGTCTGTACAGATTTTAGCTGATAAGCAACATAGTAAAAAAAGCTAACGCACCGAGCATGTCCCACCACTGGTCGGGACCGGAAACCGGGACCTCGACCTTGGCGTCGAGCCGCGTCCCATACTCCTCCCACACCTCCGTGGCAATACGTATGACGTCCCAGTGATCGGCGTCCTCGTCCTGCTTGCGCTCCGCAACGGCGTCGCAGAATTTGTTGAACACCATGCGCAGATCTTCAAGGTCGGGAGTGCGCCTTTTGAAGCAGAAGGCCTTGTGGTTGGACGTCAGCAACTTCGTCAGGGCCGGCATACAGCCTGTGAAGACCACTCACCGCCTCGTGCATCATACAGACGTAGCCGAGATCGGCCTGAGTGTCATCCGCCGCGAACGTCAAGGACTTCATGGCCACTACAGTACGTGAGACGGCCATTTTTTCGCGCGGCCCCTTCGGCAGCGTCAGGTAGAACGCCTTCAAGTCGCTGAGCAGCGTGCCCGGATTCTGGCCGTCGCCAGCAAGTTTCTCAAGAGCAAACTGGGTTTCAAGAGATAGAGACATGTTGTGGGTGAGTAGGGTGCAGAGATGCGGGGGAGCAAGCGGGCAGGTGGTGGTTAAGAGCAAGAAATGAAGTCGCGTCGGCTGCCGACACTGAAGTTCGCGGCACGTGGCACGTGGGTGAACGTGGGTTTGCCCATCAACCGAACTTAACTCTAAACCACCATGATTCGTGACTGGGCTGCAGAGCTTCCCAACGTGCTCAGCGATAATGAGGACAGCGGGGAAGAGTCAGGTGCGTACACTAACAATATACGCGCTCTTTGTAACTAATCCAAGTGCTAGGTCCTACTGCTGCGGTTGCTACTACACCTGCATCAACCGGCATCACCGGGCCGTCACCCGATCAAATTCGCGCTAAGTCGAACGCGTCCGACTCCTCTCGTGCGAGTACCGGGCTGTCTACTGCCGCAGCAGCTCGTACGCGCACCAGCACCTCGGATACACGCAAGGGAAACCGTACAGGAGATAATCTGCCAAGTCCGGCAGTTACGGCACGGCCGGCAGCCCTCTTGAATCCGGCAGCGTCGGTAGGCGGCAAAGGGAGTTTGACCGTTCACCCTCGTACATCAAGTAACGCTCGCCCGAAGTCGTTGCTGGCTTCCAAACCTTCTTCCGTACGTACACGTTGTATTTTTTCAACGTGGCGCTGTGAATCTCACCTGCAGGCATGTGTAATAGGTCCACCAACGTTCGGCAAGCGCTCCCCACCCGAAGTTGTCGCCGCCTTCAAGTCCTGCGCCAGCCCCTGCCCCAGCCCCACCATCCCCTGCTGGTAGGGCGGGTTCACCCATCAGTATTGACGGTAGCAGCCCCCTGAGAGGCGGCATCAGAAGAACGCCTCCCCGGTTCAGGGTGAAGGCGCCTGAGTTCCGAACCGAGGAAGTGATCTCGTTCAACTCTGACGGCGAGGAGGAACCTGGGTTTGGTAGGTCATGTACTGCACAGCGGGTGACTCAGCTGACTATTGGGTAGTGCAAGAGCGTCAGCGCAGCTACTGGTATCCGCTGCCGCCTAATCTCACTGAGGTTCCACGCCCCGCCCGAACACGCTCGGCCACA